ATATTGAGTTCTAGCCTAGCCAAGACTAGAACAGTCTTAAAAAATAAGGAAAAATGAAAAATAAACTATTTTAACATAACTTCACAACGTACACAGTTGGCTACAATGTAAGAAATGTAACACTGGAATAACTTACTACAGGTAAAGGGTATAGACCAAGTAAGTCCTACAATGCTTAGATAATTTAACAACAGTATCAAATAGTGCACTATAATTTCAAATGACTTTTTTAAAGCTAAAAGTAACAACGGACTCAGTTTCACTCAACATTTGATTTCAGGAATTCAGACACTAGCAGCTAAATAAACAGGAACAGCAGAGCATACTGGCTATCAGTATTACAGAGAGAAAAATTGGGAATCTCCAGAAAGAGAAAGCAAGAACAAGACAAAACAAAATCCGCTGGGCAATTATGGAATAAGAGCAGTGCGCTATCTCTTGCTTTGAACTAAAGTCCATACACTGTTTAAAACAGAACCTACAGTAATCATGTTCCTTCCTTTAGGTTTTGGTTTATTGCCAAGTATATTAGTTTGAAATGAACTAAAAGTGGTTAAAAGCCTCTACAAACTTGGGCCAAAAACAACCAGGTTCTGTTGTTGCTTACATTATAAAAGACTGCTAAGTGGCCACAGCTCCACAAGTCAATGAAATTCAGGACTACTCCTTGGAAACCCTGATAAACGCAGGAGAATGCTGAAGGGAAAAGGTAAAGAACGACAGAAATAGGAAAGGGTGAAGATGATCAGTAATTTACCAGCTTTACCAGAGCACAACCAGCGCCTCGAAAAGCCAATCTCCTCATTATGTCTGAAGGCCAACTGAAGCCAGTGAGAGAAGGTAGGGCTTTATAAGTGCTTACTCAGTTAGTTTATTCAGAACTGAAAGAGAAGAACAAGGCAGAGAAAAGGGAAGTAGGAGAATAAATGAGTACAAACAGTCAGAAAACATAACATTCCAATAGAATTGCTAAGCGAAGAGAAACAGGCGTATCAGTTGGTTGTCAGGTACACCTGACATTCCTTCCATTTAAAAACCAAAGGGTTCACGTTCTTAGAAATGTCTCACTGAGTTTCACCTTTACTCACATGAAATGACTGTCAATTCCAGGAATGAAGCATGCCTGCCCAAGTGCCCCCTAGTCAATAAGAGCAGAGTTCAATCACAGAGCTGGAATGGAGAGTGAACACATGTGGGAGCTCACATGTGACACCAAGTGTTGGCAAGCTGGAACAAACCAAGAATGGCTCATGAGAGCAAACTCTACAAAAGTCTTCCTCCCTCCACCCAAGAATCATCAAAAAACATTTTTTTCCCCAAAAGTTCTATCTGCAATGGAAAGACACAGCATTTAAGGGCTTTAAAAAGTCTTCAATTATTTTGGCAGTTGAAAATTACTGCCTTTTATAGTGCACTGGAAAGCAAATGACAAAAACTGTAAGTTATTAGTATTAACTTAGTAGTTTTAGATGATACAATAGCCAAAACCCTTTGATCATTAATACACTTTCAAAAGATTAAGAAAAAGATGCAAGGGAAAGATGATTTTTTAATTTTTCTTATTCAAGGTATAAGCTTTAACATGTAATGTGAACAAAGCAGTGGATTGACATCAGGGGTCCCCAACTTTATCTGTTTGGTGCTACCCAAATGACAACTTCTTAGCTCCACCTCTTCATCTTTAAGTGAAAGCAAGGGCTGGTAAACAGCTAAGTTGGGAGCGTTGTTGCCTAGCAGGTGGGAGGGCCTAGGTTTAATCACCAGCAGCACACGGAACTGGATATAGTGGTGCACACATGTAATAGCAGCACTAAGGAAGTGAAGACAGATGTATTAAAAGTTCAGTGTCACTCAAAAGAAAAAAACAAAATGAAAACAGTGAAGTGTACCTACCCTTTTGACAGTGAAGAAATGACATACATTAAATTACTTTGAAATTTCAAAGCAAAATTCTTAAGCTCCCTAGGCACAATAACTGGGTCCTCTTTATTTTTGAAGCCCATCCTATAAACTAGCACTGAATATAAAATAAATGTACTGAAAATGCATCTGAGATGTTTAAGACGAACTTGTGTCATTTAAACATGGTCTCTAATCATCACTTCATTATTTCTTTATTCATAAGCAGAAAACACATGATTCTGGGGTTTAATTTCAGATGTCCGAATGGCCTTATTTACAGTCAAAAGTCCAAGAGTCTTACAATGACTGTGGCCACTTCCAGTGGACAATAAATACTTCAGGAGTCTGGGGAGATAGCAAAGTCAAAGTGCCTGCCATGCAAGCATGGGGACCTTGAGTTCGGATCACCAGCACCCAGATCAAAAGCTAGGCATAGCTGCTGGGACCTATGACCCCAGAACTGAGGATAAAGGGGAGAAGGAAAGACAAGACGAGTGGGGCTTGCTGGCTGCCAGCCTTGCTCCAGGTCTAATAAAAGACCTTGTCTGAAAAGATAAGGTAGCCCTGGAGAGATGGCTTAAAGGTTAAGAGCACTGGCTACTCCTCTAGAGGACTTGGGTTAGATTCTAGCACCCAGATGGCAGCCATAACCATCTCCATAACCAACTCCAGTTCCAGAGGCCCCTCTTCTGGTTTCTTCAGGCACCAGGCATTTCCATGGTGCACAGCCATACATAGAGGCAAAACATCCTCCAAAATAAAAATGAATAGATCTTTAAAAAGGAAAAACAGATCTTAATATAAAAATAGAAATAAAAATTAAAAATCAAAGAAAAATAGAGGAAGACAATTCCAAGGATCTCTAACCTCTACATGTGTTTATGCATATAGACACAAAATAAGTTTCTTAAAAGAGTACTTAAAAAATGTGAAACTGTGCAAGTAACCAGTCCAGTCAAATATCTGACAACACACTAACTTTTAATATTCTGTGTTTTTTTTTAGTAAGATTTAGTATTGTAACACACACTTAAAACAAAAAATTTTGGTAAAAAAGGATGGCTCTAAGACCAAAAAAGAAAAACAAACAAGCAATTATAATCATACTCCCTACAGGAAACCACCCATATCACTGTCATTCAGTCTTTAATATTTATCCATGCCTCAGTTGTTGTCATTTATTGGTTTTTCTCTTTCTTTCTTTTCTCTTGCCAACTGGGTTTCATGTCACAAACTGGTCTTGAATTCAGGACTTGAATTTCTAAGCTTCTTGCCGGGATAACGTGCCACCATAACCAGTTTTATGCAGTGCTGAGGAATTGAACCTACTGCTTTATGGGTATGCCAGACAAGCACTCAACCAACTAAACTACATTCCAACCCAACTATCTTTTCTATAAACAAAGTAATTAAAAAAAAAAAAAATTCTGCAACTGTGTTTTAACTTAGAGAAGGCTGTCAGCATTTTTCATTGTCTTACTGATTGTCTATTACAAATATATAATTTACTTATCTTAAGGATTTGGGTAAAGCACTGTTATTTGAGCTATGTTTTACTCCCTACAGGAAAAGTCGTCCAGATTATTACATTCCCACTGGTGCGTCTGCACATACACATTTGTTCCTGTTTTCATCCCAAACATTTCTTCAAAGGATACTATCCTCACTCACTCCACCCTCCATTAGTTGCCCATGCTTGTAAATCCAGCATTCAGGAGACTGCGGCAGGAGAGCGTAAGTTTGGGGTAACAACAAAGTAAGACCAAATCAAAGATAAAAAGGGATACTTTACAGTCTTTCACACTGGATCTTAAAAACTACAAAAAAAAAAAAACAAAAAAACAAAAAAACTACGGAGTTCAACATGCTTCTGAATATTTGGGAAAAAAAATACTACTAAATGAAGGAAGAAAGACACTTATAACCACTTTTGTTTTACTAGCAAAAAATTCCACTATGTAACCGAAGCTAGACTGTAACGAGCAATCCTCCTGCCTCGACCACCCAAGGGCTGAAACAACAGGTGTATTCTCCTCCTGAAGTCATTTCTGAAAAGTTTGGGTTAAGACAGCTGATACCAACATATGCTTCTAAGGTTATTCCTAGAATTTCCACATCCATTCTATTGTATATTTGTCATTTGTTTTCCAGGAATTTTGAATTTTTGTCCCCTTTTTCAAATCAAATTTTCTTAAAATAACAAGACTCACTTCTTCAGAAAGTAAAAACTTTGAGACGGAAAACACTTAAAACCAGAAAATACGGTTAAAAAATAAAAACCCGATTCGTCGTGACGTTGCAGATGAGAAGCTTAAGTACCTAACCTGTAAATAAATATGTCTCACTGACAAAAGGCTTCGGTTTGGGCAATCACACGGAAAGAGAAAAAACAAAAACTCAGCCGAACGCACGAGAAACAAAAAAAGGAGGCCTGAGAGGCGGAGGAAAAAGAGGAGTCTGCCCGACCTGTCACTGGTTCTGGGGGCTAAGGAAACGTTGACAGCTTGGAAGGCGCCCCGCGACGGGCGGGAAAGAGCAGCGCGGGGAGTCTCCGGGCCCTGGTTGCCTTTGTCCGGGCCGGCAGGTGCGGCCGGGCTGCTCGGCCTGCTCCGAGGCCCGCCGCCGTGCCCCGCCCCGCGCCCAGCCCGACCGGCGCGTCCGCACTGC